CATGTGTTTGATCAATAACATGATTTTATTATTTTAGTTTTTTTAAATAAATCAAAATATTTTATAACCTTAAACAACTAAATTGTCCTTTAATTAATATATAACTAATTAAGTTTTCAAAAAATTGTATTTCTTTTTGTAATAATATTATAATTGTTTAAATGAACATTTATCATTTCATTGATTCAAGTTTTAACTTTAATATATTTTCATTTTTTTTACTTTGTATGTATGTCATGTATAAAAGATATTAATATATTTTAAGAAATAATATGATGATATTGAGACGGAACAACATATTTTTTATATTTATTTGGTATGTATATTCTCGTGCATAGCACGAGTGTTTTGCTAGTACTTAAATATGGTGAATGGATGGTAAATTCTTTAATTTTTAAAGCAAATGACCAATGTTCAAGTCTCTTAATATACATTGTCTTTAAAATATGTGTATAGTAAAGTATATACAATAAAGAGTTATTAAACATAAGTAAATAGGTGGATTGATGGTAATTAAACAATATATGAAAACAATAAGTCCTGGGTTCAAGTCTTGTTACACTTAATGTTTTAGATTTTCAATTATTTAGTGACCCAAGGGGTTTCATGGAATTGAGAGTGGTTCATCGGTTTCTTGGTTAAAGTAGACAATCACATGGTTTTCATATCTCCCTCTTTCATTATTTATTTTTTCTTAATGAAAGTCATGAGTTATCGATAAAAAATGAAATTTTTTACTTTAAATGTTTTATAGTAGAAATAACAATTATATATGATGTGGAAATACATATTTCTCACAAAATTGTATTGATCAACCAAAAAAACGCAATGGCAATATAACGGCACTCTACTGAACACCCCTATATATGTTCACTATATTATATTCACATTTACACATTTGATTTGTCATAAACATGATAGAATAATTTCTAACACCCCTGCAAAATAGCTAGCCATCAAAATTGTACCAATTACACTAGAAGCAACATCTATATACTATCTCACTAATAATGTTCTCTATTTGTTTTATGAAGTTCTTTATGGTGTTGTAATGGCATCATGTCAAAATTTAATAACACTTTGGTCACTTTTAATTTATGGTGTTAGAAGGGTATCATATCTAAATTTTATAAATGGAATTCAACACCTAAAACAAATTAGATTTAAATCTAACTCCAAGATTTGACTCAAACCAATTGCAACACTTGAATGAGGTATTAGTTTGGTTTGAGGTTGTACATGGTTGATAGATAATTTGAGCAAAAGTAAAACCATTATTCTAATGGGAAAAATGGTGAACATTGAATATTCTCCCAACATTATTGGATGCAAAGTGAAATATCTTCCTTGCACATATTTGGGATACATTTAGGAGCCAGATGTTTAGAAAAAAAAAAACATATGGGTCCTAATGATTGAAAGAAAGCACCCTATCTCAATTATTCATATACTTGCTATCATTATTATTTTTTATCCCAAAAGAAATTGTATAGAAACATGGAGAATATCAAAATGATCTTCTTTGAAAAGGGTCGCAAGAAAGGGACAAGGTTTAATGGTACTCACTTATGGTCAAGAAAAATGAAAGAAATTAACATTGCCTTGATTGCAAAGTGGTTTTGGAGATTCAATTCACATTCCCATTTCTCATAAAGATAGGTCTATCTATGTAGAAAAGTCTAGTGCTATAGAAACTAAGATAATCCAAGCATTGTTTAGGCTCCATGTGGCTGCTCTATTGGTAAGTTCCTTAAGTGCATTTGATTGAATGTGGGCAATGGAGGTAAAATCAAATGTGCAAGGCATAGCTTTGATGGAGGGTAAGCGAGGGGATGGATGTCAAAGCGTCCAACTCCAAGACTCAATCGTTTTCGATATTTACAAGAGGGTAGGTTGGTCATCTCACCCGCATTAGTTTATGCTATCATTAGGCCCACGCTAAGTATAATTGATACCCTCCTTCAACATGGGTAAGTAACTTAACCATCAAAAAATGAAATTCACTAATAAACAATCAACTAAAAATAAAAATGCCTTTGTAAAAACATTAGGGCATGAGTTCAAATGTTCTCCCAACATTTGAACCGTTTGCTATTGCTCAAGGCTTATCTCGTCACTATGCAAGACCTATGTCACTGCTGCTCAAGAGGAGTTCTCATAACCGTTCATTTTTTCATCGTCATCATTCTTTCTCGTGTAATGCTCTTCTCTTTCTCTCTCTCTCTCTATATATATATGGCATTGTTGGTTGATTTTATATTATTCACACAAATTGGTTGTGATTTTCTATTTTCACTAGTCTAACAATGGCTAGTAAAATTACAAGAATCAAGTTCAGGAGTGATATGGCTATGTTCAGTAAGGATATAAGTCGGTGTAAATTGGGTACCTGATTTGAATATTTTACATTATATCGGACTCAGGATTTTTGGGCTGGGCTTATTGGAATTTTTACAAAATCCAAATCCTAACCCGAGTCTGCCCAAGTTGCACCCTAGCATGGCATGCATGGAAGAAAAAACTTTAGGCTGAAATCAAATCAAATTGACAATACAATTAACACTCGTTCAAATGAAAAAAAAATGATGAAAACAAAGTAAATAAAACCATGAGTTAGCCCGTTCTAGTCCATTATGAAATGTTGAGTTTAGCCCATCCTAGCCCATTAAAGGACCAAAATCATTCATTTTAGCTAAGAACCAAAGAACCAGTTGCCTATGTAAGTGGCTTAGGCAAAAGAACATGGGTATACTTGGATAAATTTGTAGCATAAAAGAATGCAAAAAGTGTACTTACCCATGCAAATTTTACATGAAAAAGACTTGCTCAGGAAACTTAAATGAACCAGGACTAAGCTAGATGTGGGACTTGAGAGAAGTTAACAATTTCTATTAAAATCATTTTACAAGTAGTGTCAACTCAAATGAATTGATCAATAGATAGTTTGGATTCTTTTTCATGGTGTAAGAAGGTGAAAATACGAGTGGAACTCTATAATCCTTACCTTATAGAGTTCTCCCGTGAGCTTGAATTTTCTCAACGGGAGCTCAAAGGGCTTACGGTTCTTCTATTCAACAGGTGCATCGGTCTCTTTAAGAGACCAACTTAGAGCTTAGGCTTAGGCTTATGCTTTTCCTGTGGATGTCCTAATGCCTTTCCCACTTTTGCTCAAACTCCATATTTTGATTGGGGCATTTGCGTCATTTGAATTAACAATCTTATCCAGAAAGCCTCAAGGGGTTTCGAGTTCCAACAGCACGTGCCTGTCAATCTGTCATGCATAGACCTGTTTATGGGCCGGGCCGGGCTTTTACCCTTCATAAACAAGATTTTGTTAGGCCCGAGCTCGAGCCCGGCCTGACCAATGGGCCTACAACTTGGACCCGAGCCTGGCCCTAATAAAAAGCCCGAAGCCCCGACCCGAGCCCAAAGCCCGATCTAACAAAAAGATAGATCGGTGCTTGTGTCTGTGTTCGCTACCGACCAAATAATAAGAGAGGAATAGAACAAAGGGCAAAGAGAAAGGACTCGCTGCCGATGCTTGTGTTCGCTGGTGCCTGAGTTCACGTCTGATAAATGAACTGAACTGAGATTCTAAGAGTGAGAAGGTGAAATGAGAAGAGAAACAACCGAACAATGAAAAGAGAGAGAGAGGGAGAGAGGACTCACTAATCACTGCTGGAGTTCACTAGTTGTGTTGGTTTTGTCTTCCTGAGAATGTTTGGCTATGTGAGACTATGACTGAGAAGGGAGTTTGTTCGGCTAAGAAAAAGAGATGAATGATAAGAGAGGGGTTGAGAAGAGAGGGATTACTATTTAGGGTTAGGGTTCAACTTATACAAAAGTTGGGTCAGGCTTTTTTAACAAATCTTGAGCCCGACCCGTAAAATAGTCGGGCTCGGGCTTTTAGGCCCGAGGTCAAGCCCGCGGGCTAAAATACATTCTCAAGCCCGTCCGGGGGTCGGGCCGGTCATGCAACTAACGTTACTCGGAAACCTCCTTGAGAAAGCTTCTCAAAACAAAACAAACCCACCCAATGTGTGCCCCACTTGGTCCTACACGTGTCAATTAGCACTTGCAAATCCACGCCTTGATAAACCCCCTCCTCAATCAGTTCATCTTCTTCTCTCCTCCTGCTTCCTTCCCCCCTGCAAAAGATAGGAACCGTCCATCTTGGAACCGCCTTGTGGCTCCTGATCGTTCCCTCCTGGAACCGATCTCTGATACGTTACAGTGTCAACCCCTTGAGGCTTTCTTGTCTTGTTGATTATCGACCGTCGAGTGCCACGACTATCGACTGCCGCTACGTCTTCTTTGCCTATACCGACTGTCGGCTGCCGCTGAGGGCGTCTTCTTCTTCTTCTTCTCCTTTGTTTTTTATAGAACACGGGAGGCTTGACTTAATTCCAATTTTAACCAAAATATCCAAAATAACCGAAAAAAATTTCAGTTCGATTTAATCGATTTCTATATGTTTCAGTTTCGGTTCAGTTTGCTATCTTGTTAAACCAGTTTTGAAAATTTCAATTTTTTCGATTCGATTTTGAACCGAAAAAAACTGAATGCTCACCCCTAAAAATAAAAACCAGCATTATTCAGAATAAATCCATATCCACACCGTTATAACAACCTTCCAACCTTGCATTTGCATTGGGAATATTCTCAATGCAAGGCAGTAATGGCTGCCCGAGCAGAGTTTGCCCTCACTGAAGTTGATAGTTGCTTAGACTTCTTGAATGCACTTTATTTCAGTTGGAGCTTATTACCGGGCAAGTTGGTATAAATTAGGAAATAAAAAGAAGCTCTTTTAAATTTCTGTTAACATGATCCCTATTCCATGAAATGTAAGACATTTTGTCCAATATCACTCCCGTGCTCAGCACGGGTTACTCCGCTAGTAACACTGTTAAAAAATACATGGCCCCACAATGTATTTGATCACTCGTGTGGAGCATTATCATTCGTTCCACAGCCTGCTAATTCACTGCTATACAGCTAAAGCGTTTATCGTCATGAGCCGCTGCGCTTCAGCCCTCAACGGGCACAAAGTTAAAAATCAAACCTTAAACCCCCGTACTACGTTACGAGCTGCCCCCAAACACCAGTCCGCCGGACGGGAGGGGCTTATCGTCAACTTCAAGGGTGTCTTTTGGACTTCATTCTGCCAAGAATAACCGATGAAAATCTCAAACGCTTCTTCATCTCTCTCGCCATGGCTTCTCCGCTCTTGTGCAAGCCCCAAGTCTATTTGCTTAGCTTCGGCTCTGCATCATCCAATCTTAAGCGGGAAAACTGTGTCGGAAACAAAGAATTCAGAGGAGCAAGGTTCAGAATCCACAGTTGCAAATAAATCAGATGATCTTTCAGAGAAATACACTTCAAGGGCCGTGCTTATAGAGAAACCCAATTCCAAAATTAATTTTCTGGAGCAAACCATTCAAGCAAATCCGGAGAAACCGAATTCGGATGATTCGGATCAATCCAGGTATGTTCAATCATACTAACCTCGTTCACATATTCAGTTAGAGGTTTCCTCCTCTCGTAGTGCTGATGCAATGCTCAATCTCAACCGTGTAATATAGTTTCTCCTGAACAACAAACATGGTACTTTATCGTTTTTCAAAAATTTTAAATGGGCCGAGAACCAGCGAGGTTTTCCTTGAGGTTTGGATGCTTTTGTTGATTTTTATTCATATCCTCTTTTAGTCTAGGAGCCATTCTGGTGTTCGACGCTTAACCTATGCATTTCTCGTACTGAAACGTATTGAGTGATGATTAGGATTCATATTCTCCATAAATCATATTCGATGATATTTTTCTAACTTCATAGGTTCGGGTGGAATGACGAAAAAGCTCGGGATTTGTACAGGGAAGTGCTAGAGAAGGGAATGGATAGTGTTTACTTCACTGGGACTTGTGTGAAACGAGGAAGTATGGTAGAAGATACTCAGTGTAATTTTACTACTTCACCATCTTCTTCATTAGAACATGTAGTTCATGCAGTCTGCTCTCAAGTCTGTCAGTCATACTACCCACAAGCCAATTCAACAGCATTACATGCTCCACTGCATTTGCAAATAGATCCAGCCCTATTGACCCCTGAACAGGCCCTTGCTGTCATTGCCTCAATTGCTGATACTGCTGGCTCCATGGCGACCTTGAGTTTCTTCTACTGGGCAATTAGCTTTGTGAAGTTCCGGCATTTCATGCGCTTGTATATAACTGCGGCTACTTCATTGATGGATCGTGGAAATATGGAGAGAGCTCAAGAAGTCCTGAGGTGTATGGTAAGGAGCTTTTCTGAAGTAGGCAAATTGAAGGAAGCCATTGACATGGTAATTGAGATGCAAAACCAGGGCCTAGCCCCCACTGTCCATACACTGAACTACATCCTTAAGATTGCAGTTGAATCAGGTTGGATGCAGCTTGCTACTGATGTGTTGATGGAAATGTTTGAAAGAGGTGTCTCTCCCAATTCCTGCAGCTTCAAGATAATGATTGAAGCTAATTGCAGGGCAGGAAACATTGCAGAGGCAGAGCGGTGGTTGAATGCAATGTCAGACAAAGGCCTCCTTGTGGACAATGTAACATGTACTTTGATTATTGATGCCTTCTGCAGAAAGGGCCACGCTGGTAAGGTGTTGGGTCTTTTCGAGAAGATGAGTAAGGCAGGATTTTCTGCAAATGTGGTCAACTACACTGCCCTAATCAATGCGTTATGCAAGAGAGGAAGCATCAAGCTAGCCTTTGAAGTCCTAGAGGAAATGAGTAGGAAAGGTTGGAAACCAAATGTCTATACTCACACGGCATTAATTGATGGGCTCTGCAAGAAAGGTTGGACAGACAGGGCATTTAGGCTGTTTTTGAAGCTTGTTCGTAGCAACATTTACAAGCCAAATGTGCACACATACACTGCCATGATAAGTGGGTATTGCAAGGAGAACAAAATGAACCGGGCTGAGATGTTGTTGACAAAGATGCAAGAACAGGGGTTAATTCCAAACACCAATACATACACAACTCTGATTGATGGGCAGTGTAAAGCAGGGAACCTTACTCGGGCAAATGAATTGATGGATAGAATGATACAAGAAGGTTGCAGACCTAATATATTTACTTATAATGCAATCATCCATGGCCTTTGCAAGAATGGGAAGGTTCAAGAGGCTTACAGGCTGTTCCAAACTGGCTTTGGACAAGGACTGCAAGCTGACCGAGTTACATATACCATCCTCATAACTGAGCATTGCAAGCGGTCCTGCATTGAGCAGGCCCTGGAGTTGTTCAATAAGATGATCAAAGAAGGGTGCCATCCTGACATGCATACATACACCACCTTGATTGCAGCATTTTGCCGGCAAAGAAGAATGATAGACAGTGAGAGGCTCTTTAAAGAAGCTCTTGGGCTTGGCTTGGTTCCAACAAAGCAAACTTATACGTCTATGATATGTGGGTACTGCAAGGATGGAAATGCTAACTTGGCCTTGAAGGTCTTTCAGAAGATGATTGAATGCGGTTGTGTAGCTGATTCTTTTACTTATGGTGCTCTAATAAGTGGACTTTGCAAAGAGGCAAAGCTGGAGGAGGCTCGCAGGCTTTATGATGCCATGGTAGACAGGGGACTTTCCCCGTGTGAAGTTACTCGCTTGACAGTAGCTTATGGGTACTGCAAGAGGGATGACTCTGCCAATGCCATGGCTGTCTTGGACAAGCTAGAGAAGAAGCTATGGATTCGAACAGCCAATACCTTAATCAGAAAGCTATGTAGTGAGAAGAATATAGAAATAGCAGCTTTGTTCTTCCATAAATTATTGGATAAAGACTCAAATGTGAACCGTGTAACTTTAGTGGCATTCATGACTGCATGTTATGAAAGCGATAAGTATTCAGTTGCTTCTGAGTTGTCTGAGAGGATCTCTAAAGTGATTGGCTAGCAACCATATTTCAGCTGATAGACATATCTGCACTTTTTTTTTGTTTTTTGAAAAAATCCAGATCCAGCCTTTCCTTTTCATGGCCAGCAAAGTGGCTGCTTCACACTATGGAGTAGTTTCTATTAACAATTTGCCATATGAATAATGCCAACCTACCAAGTGAATAAAGAGATTAAGACATGAGATAGATAGATGCATTAAGCTTGTGTTATTGCAGCTGCTTCATAGACAAGTGTCTTTCTTTTCCCCAGACAGATTTGTGTGAAGCAAATGGCTGAAGCACTAATGGAATGGATGCAATCAGAAATTCTGTCAATGTTGATACCTGGCCAAGTATAGAAAGAGTTTTAAAAGTGGCAATTGGGGTCTTGGTGCAGAAACTCTCCTAACCTCTTGTTTTGATGGTGAAGTTCTTGAAATTTGCTTAGAGTGATGGAGAAGTACCAGGACCAGTATTGAACTAAGATGGCTGGTGTCTTAGAGTTTGATGATGAGGCCAAAATGACTCTGTAGACAAAGTTGTACAAAAGTATGTGCAAGTAATCTTTTGCTAGGTTTTTATGAATTTACTCATGCTGCAGTGGCTTCTCTCATGAAATTCCATGGAGATATCTATAATTGTGCTGCTCATGCTTGATATTGGTGCATTTGTTGTGTTTTTGGAGCCTTGGCATGCTGATATCTTTGAGTTACTAGATATCAAGAAGAACCATTGAGAGGTACATATTCATGGGTAGCTATACTTAATCATATAATAATAGTTTAATATCTACAAAATGGTTGATTTGGTTCTGTTGCCAGTTTAATTTAACACTTTTGCTCTGTGAGCCATAGTCTCCATGCTCATCCATTATATTATAATTCATGCCTGATTTGTTGCACCATTACAGGAAGAATAATGGGCTAGGGATCTATTTTATGCTCTCTAGGATCCTGATATCTTCATGTAAAGACTTAGAAGTGATGGTTCGGTTGTTCTTTTTTTGCCCAATTGAGGCTCATTAATACAAGAATATGTGTATAATTTCCTTCTGATGTTGTAGTAGTTCTGCAAACTTGTGCAGTAGATGTAAGAGAAATTTATGAAATTTGAGAATTGAAATGTTCTATCACATGAACCAGTCCATTTTAGACTTGTACAATTGTTGACTTGTTCCAACAGAGGCTTGGGATTGAATTGTGCTGCCACTAGGTTGAGGAATTTGTGCAGATTTATTGGTTATTTTGTGCAAATTTGTTGGTTAATTGTTTAATTTGGGAGTGGGGACCACAACACACCTGTTGGGACACTTTAGAGTGGTGTTATTAAGTCTTTTATTTAGTTTTTTTTTTGTGTTAGCCACTCTATAAAGTGCATATTGGTGTTTGTACATATTTTTTACTTAAAGTATAAATTACAATAAGAGGGGGGGCGGCCATATTAGATTGCTTTCTTATCCTCTATTCTTTCTCTTCTTCTTCTCTCTTCTCACAAAACCTCTTCTTTTCTTCATCTTTCTCTACAATTTTTGTTTCACATAGTAGATCATTAACAGTTGAAGTTTGAAGTGCTGCCAAGAGAACCACTAGGCTTTACTTTGATAGAAACTAGACAACATATAGTTTATATAAGTGTAGTTGTATATACATGAATGGTTTAAAAGTCTTCACATCTTTAATGGTTTCCCCAGAATGTTGAGTTGCATTGTGCTATTTTTCTCTAAAACTAGAACACTTGCTTCTATTGCAACCATCCAATTGATCATTGTTCCAATCAGTTGATTGGTTTCTAGAAGATGAGCCATTATCTATACAACAGTAGCATCTGAAGGCTGCATCTACATAGTCCTTACAACGGTAAGGTGTCTTTATATGCATAAATCAATGAACTTCAAAAATTAATTGAAACGATTTATACAAAACAACTAACCCATATACATTGAATATGCATGTGTATTGAATTTTCAAAACTTAGGAAGGGTGACTTGTAGGACTCCATCCCTATACAAATAGCAAAACACCCAAGTTCAGTAAATCTGTTACAGAAGAAACATAACATGCAAGCAGAGTGATACAACATATTTAGATATATTGTTATGAAAACTTTTGTATTCATAATTCAAACATGCAACATAGAAATGTAGTAAGATCCTGAAAGGTTCATCAATGGATAAGTGGCTTTAAAGGCAATTTGAGATGTTAATTTGGGTTCTACTAGGAGATCAAACTTTAGCAGGAGCAATACAACAAGGCTACAACTGCAAACTTAATTGCCTGGCTATATTCAAAGTGGAAAGGCACTTCACTAAAACTGGAAAACCTTCAAGATTGTGTTTATTCCACCAAAAATATGTTTATTAAGTTCTGAATAAAGTTTTTATTAGAAGTTGCATTCTGGAACCCATAACCTAGAACAAACACCTTCAATTAGAAATAAACCAAAGAGAAACTAAATTAATTTTTTAGTTGTATTTAAGTGAATGATGCATCTTACCTGTACTTAAAACTAGAAAACTTTAAGCGTTCTGTTTTTTCCATTGAAATTTGTCAAACTTCTACATTGATATTTTTCAATGAGTTGCATCATAGAACCCAGAACCTGGGTTTCACATTTTAGCAGTAAATCCAGGTAATATCCATATAGCCCAAACTTACACTATTATGACAGCCATAGTATGACGATAAGATTCATTTTCACTATTGAGAGACTATTAGCAACTTGGTGGGCAGGGAAAGAGAAAGCGTTATTTCATGCCTACAACATCACATCAAATATATTAATAATGATGAAGCACCTTATAAGATCCTTAATAAATAATTGAATCTCTTAAGTCTCTCATTGCAGGTTGCGAGAGAAAATATTGTATTTTTATTCTAAAACTAGGGTAATTTCCAATTCTATATAGTTTCTAACACCTTAAGAATTTTCTCTTGCTAAAGCTTCTCATAATTCCTTCTTATATTGGCATCATCATTCCACCCCTGATTGCTCACATAAACTCTCCAACTGCACTCAACCTATACAGAGAATTTCAAAAAACCCTAACCAGCCTTTGTATCTGGTTCCACATCCATCTACCACAGCAAGCTACTGATTTTACTCTTCCAAAATTGGTCCATTCTTCTGAGAGCCCTTTGTAACTACTAAGAATTGTTTCATTTCAACAAGGGGGGCTTTAGCTTTTAGTTGCACAAATTCTCATTTTAATCCAACTTTCCTCATCTAATAGCAGTCTTATCTCTATGCAAGATAAATTCAGTACACCGTAATCGCTCCTTCGGATTACCTCATTGAACCTCAAACACTTAAATATTTTTGATAACAGCATTAAAAAACTGACAAAACCAATCACCTTTTGCTCAGAAGACCAAACAAATTTCAATGTGCACCCACTAAGATGGAAACTTGAAAGGTGTGTTTGTACTCCATTGCATAATGAGGAATAGTTTGTTTAGAGAGTAGTACACACAAAGTTGTCAACAGAGGTGTCTTTTTTTTTTTAAAATTATTCTACCCAAATTATTTTTTTGGGGAATATTAAGCATTCCCTATTTCCTTGAATAAATTTAAAAATAAAATGTTTATTTGATTATATCTCAGCGAGAGCATCTAAACATAGTCGATTTTACCATCTCTTGATTATTTGGATGGGTTTTGCAGGTCAAACTTTTCTAACCGTACAAGAAGCCTTCCATTTTCCCTCTACCATTCCCAGCTCAACATTGATCTATCTTGTCAACAGGTAAGTTATCTCTTCTTAATTTTCCACTTCCCTTCTAGTCTTTTATACCTAGTTTGTGGCATAAGAAACATTTCTTGTTTACTCAGTGTAGCAAGGGATGTTGGAGTAATTTTCAAGTGGGTAAAGAGGTCAGCCAATTCTGTGACTGATACTTTGGAAAAGCAGGGGAACCTTCAGGGAAAACCTTTTTTGGGCTGTGTTCTAATTATTGAAATTGATTGGGGCAAACACTCATACTTTGAGTTGTTGATAGTGTATTAACTGCTATTTTTAATGAAAGTTATTGATTCCAATAAAAAAAAGCTGGAGTGCATAGCACCACTGTAAGAGAGCTAAACGTTCTGGTAGATAGATAACATGGACCTCTGCAACTCAAGGGAGAGTAGAAATATGGATGAAGAACTCCATGGGATTTTTTTACCTCCGAACTGTTCCACAGCCTTGCTTCGACTTCCGACGCCGACCACACCTTTCTCCAACAGTCATCCGCGAAGATGTCCAGGCTTCTTGGGATTTTTTCCAATCTTCCACCTGCAACTTTAATCTTTGCCGCTTGAAGGTTTTGCATGCACAAACCTTCCAAGACCCCACCACAGGCCACTGCTATCTTATGGAATATGTGCTCCTCCCAGAGGTTGAAGGGTAAACCCAGAATCTTGATAACTATGGTCTTATGCGAGATATTCAGTTCGTTACAGGAGGGCGACCAATTTTCCACTGCAATCTGGCCAAGTTTTGTTTCAAGGATTCTGCTCACAGTCTGAAGTTCGGCCATGTCAAATATTGCCTTATTCTTTTCAAATGGGATGAGGGTGATTTTCTCTTTTGGCTGAAGCGTCTCCAGTAGGATTTGCAATACTTCTTCCCAATCCTTAACCTCTGTTTTCACTTTCACAACTTTCCTCTTAAACCAGTCCCCATTCCTTCCATCCCATATTATTTTTGAACTCGTATCTGTCGAAAGTACTGTTATTGGAGTAATCTTTTTAGTTTGCTTTCCCAGTTTGGATCTCACTCACCTCCCCAGATTTTCATAAAGTTTTTTTTTTTTTTTTTGTCAACCAATAGTTTGGGCATGTCTATGCTTTACAAGTGCTTTTATCAATTTCAAAATATATAATTTGGAGGCAGAAATCATTTTGGAGGAAGATAGGGTCCATGTGCATATTGGCACTATATTTCATATAAAGTCTCTCAATAATTCCTAAGGGTCTGGCCCCTGTTTTTGTTTTTCCTTGGGGTGAAGTTTCAGTATTGGAAGACTGATGTGTAATGTTTCATACATTCATGTTAGAAGCTGAATCCATCAATATGTTAATAATGAGCATATATCAGTTAATAATTTTCTTTTGTTTGTTTGTCAAATACTAGTTGCTTTTGTTTTTTATTGGTTGTTTCTCTAATTGCAGCCCATGATGACACCATTGTTTATAGTCTGCCAAAGTTTTCCCTCAGGTAGGGGACCTTTTGGATTGGTTTATGTGCTCAATACCCAGTCCATGTGAACATAGACCTGAACAGTTACCATGCATTGACATCTTCCGTGAGTCATATTAGCCATCACCCATATTTTAAATATTTCTAATTTGAAAACTGCCCACAAAGACATGCTTGTTTTGCATGGACAAGAGTTTTTAATCTGAAACTTGCCCAATGAATAGTGAGTGGAGAAGCAAATGCATGGGATCTTTTCAGGACAGATTTCTATCTACAGAAGATGTAGGAATAGCATATTTGTGTTTTGAAGCATTTCTCAGGATAACTAATGCTTTTATTTCTGTTCTGATCTCCTTGACCTACTCTTTTGAAGAATCTTTAGTCCTGGTTTTACCTCATTGATTAACTAGAAGCTTTTTATTACTTTAATAGGTCCCATTGACATGGTTAATAATTAAAAGAAAAGTCTATGCAAGAACATCTTCCTGCTTCTTGTTATCAATAAAAACATAAAAATAAAAATTAAAAAAAATCCTAGAATGACTAAGACACAAACAGTTACAATAGAACAATGAAGCAAATCAGAAATTTCAAGTTTTCAATCAAAGAAGCTAAATATGGATGGTGAAATAGGAATCATGTTGTTGCATCTTATTAACCATCCAAAAGTTTACCTAGGATTGAAAATCATCTCTTGACCTTTTTGGAGGCCTGTAGTTATCCTCATCGTTGTCTAAAACCAAAACCTTGGGTTCAAGATTCCCATGCTTATTGAAAACTTTTCAAGTTAAATTATCACGGGAATGAAGTATCAAGCATTGGTGGTGTATTCAAGATAGCTATGGTGAACTTGTGTCTTTGTATTCAGGATCAGTAGGACAAGGAGACTCATTACAGCTTGAACTACTTGAGGTGCACCAAGGATTTAAACTGGGAAAGCTGCTAAATGTGAGAAATAATAAAGTAGGAGATTCCCACATCTTAGTGAGAGGTTTAGTTGACAACAGCTTGTTAAATTGGCAATAGAGTAACGTACTGATATGAGGAAGTTGGCACATAAATTACAACTTCAATTCCAATGGACAAGAAGCGAAGCGAACGGTTTGAATGATTTTCTATACAAACAAGGGGTAAACAGAACTCAACTGATTTTCTAAAGGGTGGGTCACCAGGGTATGTGACCAAGTGGTCTAGTGTTCTTCTTTACTGTTGTCATAAGGATCAGAGTAAAATGTTTAAGTATGTGATCTGCTCTGAAATAAAAAGGCCTAAATGCAGGTTCAAACCTTGTCCTATTTTTTTTTTCTTTGAAAAATCATAACATAGACCTCAAATCAGATCTCTGAAATAAAAAGGCAGACCTAAATCTTCTCTTCAGTGATTAAGAATCATGGTTGAACTGTTAAAACTAGCTATGCTAGATGATGAAGCCTCTCTGCATATCTCTTGGATATCTCAGATTTAGCATTTCTGTAAACTTGAGAGATTTGGATTCTCAGTGTTTGCAACACAAGCACCTGACCTGTGGTCTCTAGATGTGATTTCACATGTAGGAAGACATCTTGAACTCTTACTGGAGGAAGTTTTCTGCTCTCCAATCACAGGAGTACCCTATGAATCTTTCCGAGTTTTAAGTATGTATAGTTAACAAATCCTACAGCCGATGTGTCTATCTATGTTCTCAACTTTCTTACTGGACTGTAAACTCTAAAAGTTCCAGCGTCTAGATTTGACTTGAATCACATATCCCTTRTAGTCRAGTGACTTCACTTTGCAAATTCATCCCTAATAGGGAATGCCTTCAATCTCCTACTAAATCCTCCTTGGTCCCTGTACCAAGGGGAAACCCTACAACATGATAGCAAAAATCTTCAGTCAGAACTGCAGTTTCAGATTAACCCAGAAATCTGCTCATATGTCTCAGCATGCGAATTTCTGTCAAACTCAATTTTTGGGCTGTTTTCTGTTTACACAAAGCACAACTTCAATATTTCATGAGCATGTTAATGATGTTGATCATCAACCATTTGCAGTTTCCTTTCAGGAAACAGTGGCTCCAATTGTCCTATAAGTGAAATTTAAGTGGCAAAGATTGGAAGAAATGTGATTATTTTGGTCATGAAGAAAAGTCAAATAGAACTTCAATTATTGGTAGAAACCTAAGGCATTTCATCTCTCTGGCATTTCTAGGTAATAAGTTCTTTGGTTTTAAGTAGATGAATCAGAAGGCCCATGCAAGATAGTGGCAATCAGATGAAAATGTCTCACCAGAGTAGGAGGCAGATTAAAATGAACAAGAATAGGGCAGCTCTATAAAATGAATCAGATCAAGGCAGATCCGAAGCGGAGATGGGGCGGATCTGTAAAATGAACCACCGAATTTCACAGTTAGTTAAATAAAAAATGAGGAGGAGCAAGAAGAGTGGTAGCCGATTTAGAAGGAGGAGGAGGAGGAGGAGAAAGATGGTCGTCAGCTGTCTTACTTCACCGGAGATGGGGTTGACAGTGGCAGTGGCAGCGGCTAGTATGAACATTGGAGGTATTATTCCTTTACACAACTTTGGTGGATCGTAGGTTGTAATTGAGGGGTTTTTTGTCATAAAAAATTAGGAACGTAAATAGTGGAATGGGAATCGCATTCCAGAGTCCTAATCCCTGGAACCAAACAGACCCTCATTCTTCTCCTTAATTATTTGTTTTGCTTCAACAAAAAAAAAGGAAGAAATACTACAAAATATGATTGAATTGCTTTTATCCAATCAAAAATAAAGTGAGTGAAAGGCATGGATGGACCACTCAATCTTGTCATCCCATGGATTAGATCATCAGGAGTCCTGAAATTCAAGTTTAAGATTTGTATTCAAACTAAGCAAACAAATGAATCAGTTAACCATTATAAACTCAAATGATTCCATTTGACCACGCTTCATGTTTTGTTACAGGTTTTGTGTGTTGATGAGTAACAAGTTCTATGTGTTGGTGGGTCCCAAACTAAGCAAACCAATGATTTTTTGTACAGGTTCTATGCGTTGGTGGATCCCACATATCTATTTTTTATATGATTTGTGTGTTGGAGGGACCCACATATCCATTTTGTATAAATTTTATATGTCGGTAAGGCGCACATATCTTTATTGTTTAGGTTTTTGTATTGACGGCCATGCATTTGCATATCTAGATATGTTCTTGATTTATATGTATTTTGACTCTAGATTACCTTAAAACAAATTTCTTAAGTTCTCTAGATATCTTTAACTAGTTTTTAAACATATAAATCTTAGGTGTTTGTAAAATGTCTTGTTTTAGTATTTCTTATTTCAATATATATATATATATATATATATATATATATATATATATCATGCACAATCTAATTTTTATATTTGTTTTCCTT